GCGAGAAGAGGTAGCGCGGCCGCGGCGCCCGCCCTGCCGCCCGCGGCCCGGCCCGGCCCGCGCGCCAGGCATGCAGGGCAAGGCCAAGCTGCTGCTGGTCCACAACGGCCGCATGGTGAGCGGGCCRCGGGGCAGCCGCGGGCGGCGGCGTGGGCACCGCGGGCGTGTGCGGATGGGTAATAGGGATGTGTGGGGATGGGATAACGGACGGGGATATATGAGGCTGGGATAGCGGACAAGCTGTATAGGGCTGRGTAACGGGCATGTGTGGGCTGGATAACGGGAATGTGTGGGGCTGGGTAACGGGCAGGGATGTATGGGGCTGGGTAGCCAGTAGGGATGTATGGGGCTGGATAATGGGCAGGGTGTATGGAGCTGGATAACGGGGGTGTATGGGGCTGAGCGACAGGCAGGGATATACAGGGCTGAGTAATGGGGATGTGTGGGACTGGGTAACCCATAGGGATGTGCGAGGCTGGGGAAGCAGTAGGGATGTATGGGGCTACCCTGGATGTAGGGTGTTTAGGGCTGGAATAAGAGGCAGGCAGGGATGTGTGGAGCTGGATAGCAGGAGGGTAGGCACGAGTGGAACTGGGGTGCCAAGGGCAGGTAGGGGCCTATAGGCTGAGGCAGTGGGGCAGGCAGGGATGTGTGGGGCAGGCACGGCAGGGATGGGGGAGGACGTGTGGGGCAGGAGGGGAGGCTGGTGGCTGGTACGAGGCGCTGGAGGAGCAGCGCTGTGTGGGGCTGAGGGATGGACCGGGGTGCGCAGGGAAGCGGCGGGATAGGGGTGTGTGGGGCTGGGTGACGGGTGCATGGGGACGTGTGGGGCTGGTAAGGGCCTGGCAGGGCTGTGTTCTTGGTGCTGGGGAGGGACGGGGGCAGCGCCGGGCGGGCGCGGGCAGCCCATGGGCCACGGGAAGGGCAGCGCCGGGCGGGCAGAGCGGTGCCGGGAGCGCCCGGCTGAGCCCCGGCTGCCGCGGGGGCTCTGCGCCTTGCGCGGCCACACAGCCCCGCGCAGGTGTCAGCCTCCCCGGTCGGGGTGCCCCGGGGCGCCCTGCCCTGCCACGGCCTGGCCCTGCCCTCCGCCCTTGGGCCGCCGGGAGCCCCGGCACCGGGAGGGAGGCAGCACCGGGAGGGAGGCAGCCGCAGCCTGCGGGCCCAGGGCTGTGGTTCTCCTTCCTTCTTCCCCCTCCTCCCTTGCTCTTCCTGTGCCGGGAGGCTGCTGCTCTCCTCTCCTCCCCGAGCAGCGCAGGCTGCATCTCGTAGAGTCTGGCTTTGTGCTCCCCGGCCTGGCCCCTGGGCACGAGATGGGCAGGARCGCGGGTGCTGCTCTGCTGGGTCGGGCAGCCCCCATCCCTTCCCTCAACCCCTCTCTCCACTCCCGCAGGGCCCGGCCGTCTCGGATGGAGGTAAGGCAGCCGTTTGCTTCGGGGCGAGCGCTTGGCCTCATCCCGGGGCAGGGAAGGGCTCCAGTGCGGCTGGGAGCCAGGGTCCATGCTGGGGGCGGGCGCACAGCCGCCCCGTGCCCGGCTCCCCGCTGCGCCTGTCCCTGGCGGCCACTCACATGTGCTGGGAGCCCAGGTGCTTCCCGGYGGGAAGCAGAGCCCCGGCCCCGGCCCTGGCTGGCCCCACGCCTCCGAGGTGAGGCCTGTGCGCCCCGTTGTGCCCGGGCGCCGCTCGAGGAGCCTTCCAGCAGGTCCCCTCACCATGTCGCAGGCCCTGGCTCTGGGACCAGCGGTTTCCACCTGCACACACAGCACGGCAGGGGATGAGAAATTATCCTTGTGCCAGCCATGACAAACACCGTGGGGAGCCAGGCAAGGCAAAGAACTGTCTACTCTCCCCCAGGAGCATCCAGGACCCTGCCCTGCTGCTGCCTGCTTCCTGGGATAACCTTTCTTTATACCTCTRCCTTTGCAAATGCCCCCCTGCTCCCATTTGCTCACCAGAAAAAAACATTTCAGAAGCTTTTTGTCCCTGGGAATTTCCACCTTTCTGACGGAGGGACTCCACGTGAATGCACAGTCATGTAGGGCTTCCCCGGGGCTTCCTCAGCCCTGGGGGGCTGTGGGTGCCAGGTCACATGCCCCCCTCTCCCACTGGACGTTTTTCTGGGCAGGGGGCGGCTGGCAGCCCGAGCGCGGGGGCTCTGGGACCCCCTTCCCTGCGTGTGCCCCGCACTCCCTTCCCTGCTGCTGTCCCTGCCTGGCCGGGCGCCTTCCCCGCGCGGCGGCTTCGTCCCGCTGGGAGATGAGTCACGTGTGGAGTCACTGTGACGCCCTGGGGAGGATGGCAGCGCTGGCAGGGGGTGTCAGCTGTGTCATCGGGGCACTCTCCTCTCCCGAGGATGCTGCGGACAGCAACAATTCTGCTCCACGCTCCTTTCCTGAGACCTCCCAGAGGTCTGATCCGCCRGCCCGTGTGCGGCATGGGGCACATGGACTTGCTGCACGTACTGGGGCTCCTCGTGACTGGGGCAGAGGGAGGAGGATGCCCCCTTGGCTGGCCCAGGCCCAGCGTAGCATCCCCGGGCGGTTTCCAGGCAGGCAGAATTGACCTTTTCCCTCTCTCAGAGTTAAATGCCTCCAGGGCRCGTGGCAGCAACCACAGCGTGAACAGCCTGCCAGGACCACAGAGCACATGCAGCTCCTCGCAGAAGTCCGTGGTCAGCTGGGCCGAATCCTTCGAGACGCTGCTCCAAGATCGTGTGGCCGTCACCTACTTCACCGTGAGTGCCGCAGCCCTCACCTCGGTCCCGATCTCATCTGCAGGAGCAGCCCTAGCAGTCAACACCCACCCCTGGTGTCCTGGTGACATTGCTGTCCCCGGGCCCTCAGCCTGTGTCCAGGGCTGCTGTCTCCAAACCCGGCCACCCCAGAGGTGGCTGTCCCCGCTGTCGTTTTTACCTTTCCCCATTACCTTTCCCATTTGTCCCTGTGAAGCTGAGAGTCCCCACGTGCTTTGAATTCCTCCCACGGAGTCAGGCTCAGCCCCGGGCAGGGCGCCCGCGTGCTCAGTGCTCCCTGCTCCCTCCCGTGCCCACAGCGGTCACCTGGCCTGCGAGGAGACAGTGCCAGCCAGGCCAGCAGCGTGCTCTGCCCCGCAGGAGTTCCTCAAAAAGGAGTTCAGCGCTGAGAATGTCTACTTCTGGCAGGCATGCGAGCGCTTCCAGCAGATCCCGGCCAGCGACACGCAGCAGGTACCGGCCGGGGAGCATCAGGCACCTTCCCGCAGCGCGGGTGGCCACCTTGCCGTTATGTGGCCCTGGACCCCAGCAAACTCCTGTTGTGGAGTTTGTGTCTCTCCCCTTCTGAGGGGGAGAGAGATGCAGAGACAGGTGCAAAAGCGTCTGATAGGCCCTCACAGAGCAGGAAGTGCCTCTCCACCCCTGGTGCCAAAAGATGGTGGGAATTGCTGCAAGGGCTGGGGAAAAAAAAAAAGACATCGAGGGAAATAGAGTAGGACCTGAGGGGACAGAGCCATGTGCTGTGTGAGGGATGGTTCCTCCGTGAAGTTGTGTCTTTGGGGAGGGACCAGCGTGTCGTGCCCAGAGCCCAGCATTGAAGCAGGGAGGCCACATCTGRTGCCCACCCTGAATCCCAGCTCCTGGCACAGCCCTGCTCGTGACTTGGCCCTTTCAGTGCTCAGGTAGCATTTGACCTCGATGGGGTGAGCTAGGGGTTCTGCACATGGTACCAGTAAGGGGAGGGCCCTTAGTCCCAGTCGGATCCCTGTCCCRCAGCTGGCGCAGGAGGCCCGGCGGATCTACGACGAGTTCCTCTCCAGCCACTCGGTGAGTCCCGTGAACATTGACAAGCAGGCCTGGATTGGGGAGGACGTGCTGGCCACCCCATCGCCGGACATGTTTCGCATCCAGCAGCTCCAGGTGAGATGGGGCTGAGCAAGCAGCACCCCTGCTCCACCCCACACCCTGGATGGGGGCTCTGGGGCCTCCCCTCACTGTTTGCCGGGCCTCAGTGCTGCTCCAGAGGCTGGGGATTGCTGTGCTGTGGGGCACTAGGCAGGAAGGGCTCTAGGTGAGCAAATGTTGTGAGCTCACTTGTCCACCCTTCGCAGATCTTTAACCTGATGAAGTTTGACAGCTACACACGCTTTGTGAAATCCCCACTCTACCAGGCCTGCTTGAGAGCAGAGAGCCAGGGGCAGCCCCTGCCAGACCTGCGGCCCCACTCCCGCAGCAGCAGCCCCCCACCCGACCTCAGCAAGGTGAGTGGKGTGGGAGGGGGCGGCAAGAGACTGTCCCTTGGCCTGAAAATAGGGCCAAGTTCTGTTTTGTATTGCCAGTCCCCTTCCCTGTTGGTAAGTGCAATATAGCCCCGGGCTGAGCTGGGCTCTGGGGTGCAGGGAAGAGGGAAGAGGCAGCTTTGGGTGTCCCCATGGAGGCCCAAGACACTCTCTCTTTGTGCCAGAAGTCGAAGCTGAAGCTGGGCAAGTCTCTGCCGGTGGGTGTGGAGGCTGCAGGCAGYAGCAGCAGCAAGGGCAGCCCRCGCCGCTCCTTCAGGAAGGGGGAGCGAAGGGAGCCCTCGTGGGCAGGTAAGGGCTGCCCTGCGTGGGAGCGGTCGTGGCCACCGCCTGTCCCCAAAGGGCGCCCGCTGCCCTGTCACTGCATGCCCCTCTCTCCTAGAGGGCGAAGGCAGCGGCAGCGCCATGCTGTGGCGCGAGTCTCAGGGCTCCCTGAACTCCTCGGCCAGCCTGGACCTGGGCTTCCTGTCCTCTACCAGCACCTCCACCAGCCCCTGGACAGAGGTGAGTGTCGCTGCGCGGGTCCTGCAGCCTCCTGCTGCTGCCTGGGCTCATCCTGCCTCTCACCTCCCCGCAGAGCCACAGGAAGAGCCTGGGGGGCTCCGAGGCGGAGGCCAAGCCCATGAAGTACTGCTGCGTGTACCTGCCGGACGGCACGGCCTCCCTGGCCTCYGTGCGGCCCGGCCACTCCATCCGCGACATGCTGGCCGGCATCTGTGAGAAGCGTGGCTTCAGCCTTCCCGACATCAAGGTCTACCTGGTGGGGAATGAACAGGTACGGCTGGCACGGGGAGCAGAGGGGGCTCCTGCCAGCCCCGCTGGTGCTGCGTGGACCTTCTCTAAGCTGGACTGCCCATGGGCTCTTCCAGAAAGCGCTTGTGCTGGACCAGGAGTGCTCTGTGCTGGCAGACCAGGAGGTGAAGCTGGAGAACAGGATAAGCTTTGAGTGAGTGTGAGCTTGGGGATGGGTGCTGCTGCCTGTGTGTCCAGCATCATGCACAGCACCCTGCCCTCCCAAATGTGCTCCAGTCCCAACTCCCTGAGCAGGCCCAAACACACGGGTTCTACCCCTCCACGTCCTGCCCAGCTTGCCTGTCCTAGCCCAAYGCAGGCTTCTCCATGACACGGCATCTCCTGCCTCTCTGCAGYCTGGTGATTTCCTCCCTCAATAAGACCATCCGCATCACAGCCAAGTCAACCAAGCGCCTGCGGGAAGCACTGCAGCCTGTGATGGGGAAATAYGGTGTGAGCGCCGAGCTGGTGTCGCTGCGGCGGGTGAGACCTCCCCCTTGTGAGCGTGGTCCCTGTCATGCGGCTTGGGTGCTGTCCCGGGGCGCTCGCAGAGCCCTGGGGCTCAGGCCAGGGGCTGGCAGGGGTGCCAGGGAGCAGCGCTCCGGGCTGGGGGTTGTCTGCAGCTCTACAGGGAGTTGCTGGTGATTGAAACGGCTGGTGGCAGCCAACAGTGGTTGTGGTCTGTGCTGTGCAGCCCACAGACCCTGACCTGGTCAGAGCTCCCCTGGTCTCACAGGCCACTGGACTGTCTGCTTCTGCCAAGTGCCATGCCACAGTGAGCATGACACTGGTTGACTCTGTTCTTGCTGCAGCAAGGCGAACCGGGGACCTTGGACCTGGAGAAGCTGGTTAGCACRGTGGCTGCTCAGAAACTTGTCCTGGAAACACCCGCAGGTAACRCCTAGGGAGATGTTGGAGCCCCTCTGTGGCCCTGGGTGGCCCACAGCCGTGTTCCCATCTGTCCTGCAAGATCCCACAGGGGTACCCCATGCTGCTTCCTCCTGGCCAGGGCTCCTGCTCCCTGGGAYGGGCTGTGTGTTGTTGTGGGCTCCCCAGAGCTGGGACACGGGCACAGGGTGGTGCTGGGCCTCACTGCCCTTTGCATTTCAGGCACCAAAGTGATGGAGAGCGCTGAGGCTGCAGCTGCCCCCTACCCGCTCCGGAGCGAGGTGAGTCCCACTGCCCTGCTCACAGGTGGGAGATGCCCTGGGCTGCTCTTGTGGTCCACGGGGACAGAGTGCCCCACTGTTCCCCCTGAGACTACTGTGGGGGTGCTCAGGCCAGAGTCAGGCCCAGGGGAGCCCTGCTTGCTTGTCCCATTTCTAAAGCGTGGGCTGCTCATCACAGGAGGGAAGTCCGACCGGAGCAGAGGCCGACGTGCTGTGGGAGATGCCCTCCTCCTCCTCCAGGCCCCGCTCATCCGCTGCCACAAATCTGAACCGGCGCACGTAYGACCTGGAAGGTGAGACCTGGGAAGCCTGGACTCGAGGGACTGGGACAAAACATGGAGTGAAGAAAGAGGACTCCTAGTGTGCTGGTGGTCCTGCAGGTGCTGGGATGGTGCAGGCTGCCATGGAGCAGGGACAGAGTGTGCCTGGCATGTGTTCATGCCAGCTGCAGGACTGAGGCAGGGGCTCAGGGCTTGTGCAGGGCTTGGCTGAATGACCTGCTCTTCCCCAGGACTTGTGGAGCTGCTGAAYCGGGCCCAGAGCTGCAGGGCCAACGACCAGCGTGGCCTGCTCTCCAAGGAGGACCTGGTCCTGCCTGACTTCCTGCAGCTCCCGGGCCACGATGACAGTGCCTGCGAGGGGTCACATCAGCCGCACGAGCCTCACGCAGACCCCAAGGGAGGTGACCAGCCTTCCCCCGCAGAGCCAACACCAGCTCAAYCTGCAGTCGACTGTGAGCGCTGCTGAGTCCTGCCGCACGTCTGCGCCCAGCACGTGGCACCCCGGGCCATGGCAGGGCCAACACRGGGCCTGGCCAGCCCCTGCCCTGCACTGCCGGCACTGCCCGGGCCGCACATTCGTCCACGTCCTGTTCCAAACTGTCGTGTCGTGTTGCCGTGAGTGGTTGAGCAACTGCCATGCCCTTCAGTGGGGTCGCATCCTGGTGCACGCCAAGGGAGTCCTGTACATAGTAGTTTGAGCTCCCGTGCAAAGCACTTTGCAATTTCCCATGCTCGCCTGGCACTGTTCTGCTCAGAGCTTTTGCCTCCTCTGCCTGGGGCAGAGCTTCCCCTGGGCAAATCCTACCCATGCCAGGCTGGCACAGCCCCGTTGCCTGTCCAGGTGGCGGGAGCAGCCATTTAACTGAAGGGTGTGAAGGATAGGGAGGAGCCAAATGAATTAGGTGCCAAGGTAGGGGCCAGCCCTGTACCCTAGTGCAGTGAGCGGGCAGGGTCAGGAGAACACGTGCAGACCTGAGGGATGTAGCAAGCCCCTGTCCCAGCAGGAATCTGATGATGCTTCAGTTGTTGATATGAGACCCATTAGCTCTCTGGGCCTGTCTTTTAAGGTGCCTTGGCCCCCCAGTTCCTTGGGAACGTGGTCGTGCTGGCCTATGTCCATGGTCACAGCACCTGACAAATTATTACCGTCTGTTGTGCAGGAGCAGGGCTGGGCCTGGCTGGGCCAGGGTTAGTGCAGAGCTGCCTTGGTGCTCACTGCACAACAGACAGCTTGGAGCAGCAGCAGGAGYGCTGCCCTTGTAGAGCAGGGCACGGACACGCTTGCTGTCCTCCTGGCTCACACACTTGCCAGCTTSTTGTCTGCCCAGGGTGAGCAGGTTCAAGCCCTGCRCAGACAGAGGCAGAGCCAACAACGYGTCCTGCAGGACCCTGCCTCCTCCCTGCAGTGACACTGTGCAAAGGAGGGTACAGAAATGACCTGCAGGCTGCAGATGCCTCCAGGTTGCCTGTCCTGAGCTCCCTGTCAGAGCCCAGGGCCCCCAGGCCTTCATGGTGCTGTGGGATGGGGACTGGGTGTGCAAGGTGCCAAGGAAATGCAGCACCCGCTGGGTGCTGATGGTCTGGGGGGTGCTGCAGGGTGCCCTGGCACAAAGCGGCTCCCGGTGCCAGCCCCAGCCTTGGCGGGACCCCCTCGTGCCCGCGGGCTGCGCCGCTCGCGCCGCCACAGGTAGTGTCAAGGTGGGCTCTGCCAGCCCTGGCTGTGCTCTGCCCTCGCAGAGGGATCCCCCTGCCAGGCSTCCCCATGTCCCCAGAGCTCCCTGCCCCCGGGGACCCCTCACCAGGCTGTGGCAGAGCCAGGCTGTCTGCCAGAGACCCCTCTGTCACCGGTGCATGCCCAGCTGTGCCCAGGGCCCCAGTTGCCCCTGCTGTGGCAACACTGCCAGGCAGGAGGGGGGCCCTGGGGGCTGCCGGGCACCCCCGGGCAGGGGGCCCCGCTGCCCGATCCAGCCCCGCAGCGCCCCGTGGCTGCAGCCCTGTGGCCCGGGGTCAGAGCCCTTGTGTGTCTCTGTGGTCCTGCTGTGTGTGGTGTGAAACCGGGAGGAATAAAGAGCCTTGCCTAGAGGAGCCTCCCTCGCCTGCCTTGCCCCTGGGGAGCCCCTTCTGCCCCGAGCTCCGGCTGCCCCGGGGCTTGTCCTTCCGCCTGCCCCAGGCAGCAGCTCCGGGAAGGCAGGAGCCCGGCAGGTCCTGCCCCGAGGCTGCAGCCCGACGGGCAGCCCCACAAGGTGAGTTGTGCCCACGCTGGGTCCGTGGCAGCTCGCAGGGAGGGCGCGTGGGGCTTCGCGTAGCTGCAGCAGCTCCCCAGAGCCCCGGGATGGAGCCGCTGCCGGTCCCTGCGTCCCTGCCCGGAGGGCGGCGGGGGCTCCCCAGGCAGCGGGGGCCGCGGGGCAGTGCCAGGAGCTTGTCCTCCTGCCCCAGCTGGTGCTCCAGGGAAGCTGTGGGGCTGGCAGGGCCGAGGACTTCAGCCCTGACCCTGTCAATGAGTGACGGCGGGAGCTGCCCSGGCCCCGCGGGTTAATGATTGTGAGTGTGAGTGGGCAGCAGCCGTGGGTGCCGGGACGGGCAGCGCTGGCCCAAAGCGCCCCGGGGCACAGGGCGCACGCGGACACCGGCCTCCCCCGCGCCGGCAGAGCCTCCCACGCGCTCTGGCCGGGCACGCCGSGTGCTGCTGCTGCCATCCACGTGCGGCTCCGGGCCTGGTATCCGATGGGTTTATGAGCTGCTTAAGGCTYGTTCCTTAAGGCTGCAGGGCTGCCAGGGAGGTCCCAGGGCTGCCTTACTCCTAAACCGCCCCTGAGCGCCTCAAGCGCCCCAGGCTGCCTGCGGAATGTGCCCTTGCTCACACTGCCACCTTGGCTCGCCCGCCCACGGGGAGCAGCCCCTGGTCCCGAGCCGCKGAATGAAACCGCGAGCCCAGCCCGGGCAGGGACTCGTCCTCGTCCCCGCGCTAACGGGTAACAGGGGGCACTGTGGCCCCCAGCCCCGCTGTGACGCGGCTGGGTGCAGCTTGTGCTCCGCACCACGAGCCCGGCGCCCCGCTTGGGGATGGACTCCTTGTCTGGGGCCACCCGTGTCCCTCGGCACCCAGGGCAGCCGCTGGCGCCCGTGGGAGCRGGTACCCCTGTGCCAACCGAGTGACCCAGGCGCAGGTCACCAAGTGCTTTGTGCCCCAGTGAGCAGGGCCCATGGGGTGGCGAGGGCGCCCGCTCCGGGCACGTGATGCCCGGGACAGGACTCTGGCTCCCGGCTTCTCCCGCTCCCGGCCCAGACGGAGCGAGACGTCACAGCCACATGTGCTCCGGTGACACGGCCCTCGGTGCCGGCTCCTGATGGACATCCGCGTTGGAGGGGCCTTTGGCCCCAGCGCTCCCCTCGCCTGCCAGGCCCGTGGGCTGCCCGGATGCCTCTTGGGTGGATGGAAACTTGGCGGCAGACACGTAAACAGAGGCTAATGATAAACGGCCCCCGGGAGCGGGTGATGCCAGCGCTGGCACCGCTCCCCTCCCGCCCGTCCCGGCGCAGGAAGCAGCAGCCTCCGCCCCGAGCAGCCTTGGCCACCGCGCGGGCTGCTCCGTGCCGGGCCGCTGGCGAGGGCTGCGCCAGGCCGCGTGCCGCCCGTCCCCACCAGCGCCGCACTGGGGACACCGCTGCCGCTGGCGGCACCGTGGCGCTCGCCTCGTGACGAGCAGGAAGCCCTGGTGCCACCGAAGCCTCATCCTCCTCGTGCGGGGCACCGAGCCCCTGGTATCGGGATGCAGCCTCCATCCCGGCGTGGCCCTGGCACCTCCGCCTCGCGCCGCCGAGGCCGGGCCGAGCAGCCCCCGGGGCGCCTGCCCCATGCTGCGCCAGCCCCACGGCCGCCGCGGGACGCCACGGGGTTACCCATTAACTGCAGGAATTTGTGGGGAGGAGGTGAGCGAAGGCGAGGGGCGACGCCGGGCTCCTTAGACTTTGCTCTTGGCGCGCGTATAAAGGGTCGCGGTGCCCGGCAGGCCGCTGTGCCAGAGGGACGCATGGATGTGGCATGTGGCTGCGGAGCTGCCCTGAGCGCCCAGCCGGCCCCAGGTGAGCAGGGCCGCGGGCAGGGGGCGGCCGGGCCGAGCTGCCGGGCAGGGCCTGCCCACCCGCTGCCCCCGGCCACCTCCTCGCCCAGCGGCCCCGCGCCCGGCCCTGCGCTGCCGGGGCAGGACTCGGGCCCGCGGGGCTCGCGCTGTGCTGACCCACGGCCGCCCCGCTCAGACGCTCCAGGGAAGATGCTGCCTTACCGGAGGGAGAGCCCCGCCATGGGCCGCTGCCCGCTGCGGGGAGGAAGGGTGCTGCAYGGGGCCCCCTTCGCCTACTGCCCCAGCCCACAAGGTAGGTGCCCGCTCGGCTCCTCCTGCTGCGTCCCGGCAGGCTGGAGACCCAGAGCCCCCCGAGGCAGCTGTGCTGTCTCCCGCAGTCCTGCACCGCCTGCCCGGCACCCATGCCTACCCGTTTGCCGTGGGCGCCGTGCCGCACCCTGAGCACGGCTGCCTGTGCCCCGGCTCGCCGGGCCGCCTCGTGGAGGCCATGGAGCGCTACGAGCTGGACGCGCTGCCCGCCCGGCCCTGGCAGGGGCCCCGGCTGCCCTTGGACGAGCTGCAGAAGCCAGGTGAGGGCTCCGGGTCCATGCCCGCTGCCGCCCCAGCGCGTGGCCGCCACAGAGGCACCCGGAGGCACCGTGGGGCATCTCGGGGTGCTGGGGCTCTGGGGTAGCCAGCCTCCCCCGGGGACCACCAGTGATTGCCCATCACGGTGACCCCCAGACATGAGAGACACCCCAGCACCCGCTGAGCGGTTCCRGGCAGCGCCACCCTCGTGCCTGCCATGGCCTTGTGGTGCCGGCACCACGTGGAGCCCGCACGGGGCAGGGGGAAGCTCACCCGGGCGCTGCCACCCACGGGCGCGAGGGGCGGCCGGAGGAAGGTGTGGGGCGCAGGGGGCCCGAGGCGCCGCGGCCCTGCCGGGACCGCCCTTTAACGCTCTCTCTTGTCTTGCGCAGGGCTGGGGTGCTGGGAGAGGGTCCAGTCCATCTGTGTCTCCCTTCTCAAGGTGCCGCTGATGTTCGGCTTCCTGTACCTCTTTGTGTGCTCCCTGGACGTGCTGAGCTCTGCGTTCCAGCTGGCCGGAGGTAGGGCCCCGGGGGCACCCTGGCCGCGGGAGCACCCGCCACGGCGGCGCCCTGCTGCTCACGTCCTTCTCGCAGGCAAGGTGGCCGGCGACATCTTCAAGGACAATGCCATCCTCTCCAACCCTGTGGCCGGGCTCGTGGTGGGCATCTTGGTGACCGTCCTGGTGCAGAGCTCCTCCACCTCCACCTCCATCATCGTCAGCATGGTCTCCTCGGGACGTGAGTGCACCCTGCGGGGCACCTCGAGGCAGGAGGACAGGGGCGACGTGTGGTCCCCCCGGGGCTAATGGGTGTCTGTGTGTGCAGTGCTGGAGGTGCGCTCCGCCATCCCCATCATCATGGGCTCCAACATCGGCACCTCCGTCACCAACACCATCGTGGCCCTCATGCAGGCCGGTGACCGCAGTGAATTCAAACGGTGAGAGCCGGTTTGGGCCTGGGGGGCTTCGGGGGCCAACAGCGGGCAGGGAGCACGGCCGGCGAGGCCGGACACGGGGCCGCTGCGTGGCCGCCCCGCGCCGACCGGCTCCCCCGGGCAGGGCCTTCGCTGGCGCCACGGTGCACGACTGCTTCAACTGGCTCTCGGTGCTGGTGCTGCTGCCGCTGGAGGTGGTCAGCGGCTACCTGCACCACGTCACCCGCCTGGTTGTGGCCACCTTCAACATCCGCAGCGGCAAGGACGCCCCCGACCTGCTGAAGATCATCACGGAGCCCTTCACCAGGCTCATCATCCAGGTCTCCTGGGGCTGGCTGCGGTGTCGCTGTGCTGCTGCTGCGCTCTGGGTGTCCCCAGGCTGGCAGCGGTGCCCCCAGGCCGGCCCCTGGGCGGGAGGCGCTGCCGGCCGCTGAGGACCCTCTCTCTCCAACACGTGTGGTTGCAGCTGGACAAGTCGGTGATCACGGGCATCGCCACGGGGGACGAGAGCCTGCGCAACCGGAGCCTCATCCGCGTGTGGTGCGGGCAGGCAGCGCCGCAGGTGAGGGGCGCCCGGCCGCACCGGGGCCGCACCGGCGCTGGGACAGGGCCCGGTACGAGCCCCACGGAGGGCGGCGGAGGGCAGAGCCTGGCTGACGGTGCCACGGGGTCCGACACAGCCGCTCCTCTCCCTGCAGACCCCCGCCGTGGGGCTGGGARCCCCTCTGAACTGCACAGGCCCCGGGCACTGCGGCACCAAGGGTGTCGAGAGCCTCCAGAACGTCACAGGGCACAAGTGTGAGTGGACACCGGGGGGCTGGGGGGGCTGTGGGGACAGCRGGCAAGGCGTGGGGGGCTGCAGAGGCAGGGGTATGGGACTGGGGGCTCGTGTGGGGCTGAGCGCCTCTGTGGAGCACAGRCCATGGGGCTAGAGCCTGGCGGTGGGGCAGAGCTGGGAGACCATGGGGTCTGTGTGTGGGGCCGTGTAGTGGGGGGGCTGGGTGGCCACAGGCACCGCGCCCTCACCCCGCGCTGCCGTGGGGCAGGCAGCCACCTCTTCACAGACACCCCGCTGCCCGACCTGGCCGTGGGGCTGGTGCTGCTGGCCGGGTCCCTCATCGTGCTCTGCACCTGCCTCATCCTCCTCGTCAAGCTCCTCAACTCCCTGCTCAAGGGGCAGGTGGCCAAGGCTGTCCAGAAGGTCATCAACACGGGTGAGTGGGACGGGGGGGCTGCGGGATGGGACCTGCCGCCCCAAACGCCCTGCCTGCCCCACGGCTACCTGCCCTGATCCACCCCCGCCTGCCCCACGGCCACAGCAGCCACTTCCTGCACAGCCACACCAGCCCCTTTCCCATCCATCCCGGCCACYGCTCTCCCAAAGGCATCAGCCTGACCCTGCATTTGGAGTCTGGCCCCATAACCCAGTGCCTGACTCTCATAACCAGGGACTGGCCCCAAAGCCAGAGTCTGGCGCTGCAGCCCCCACTGTTAGGTCTGGTCTGCACTTGGCTGACATGTCCATGCCCATGTCAATGTCCACATCTTTGCCCATACTCAAGTCTGTGCCCATGTCCATGCCCACATCTGCACCCGTGCCCATGTCCGTGCCCATGTCCATGCCCACATCTCACGCTCGGCAGACCTCCCGCACCCGCTCAGCTGGCTCACCGGCTACTTTGCGATGGTGGTGGGTGCTGGGATGACCTTCGTGGTGCAGAGCAGCTCCGTCTTCACCTCGGCCATCACGCCCCTGATTGGTGAGTCCTGCGTGAGGCTCATCCCCGGGCACGCGCTGCTGCCCCTGACACGGGGCACGAGTGCCAGGGTGTTCCTGGGGCTCTGCTGGAGGAGATGCGGGCGCACGGGGTGCTGGTGAGGGCAGTGGTGATGGGCAGGGCGCCTCACCCCGCAGGCCTGGGGGTGATCAGCATAGAGCGCGCCTACCCGCTGACCCTCGGCTCCAACATCGGCACCACCACCACGGCCATCCTGGCCGCSCTGGCCAGCCCCAGGGACAAGCTGGCCAGCTCCTTCCAGGTAGGGGAAGCCCTGGGCCCGGGGACGCCRCGGGTGCCCGGCTGATGGCGATGCTGATGGGGATGCCGCCCCTGCAGATCGCCCTCTGCCACTTCTTCTTCAACATCTCCGGCATCCTGCTGTGGTACCCGCTGCCCTTCAGCCGCCTCCCCATCCGCATGGCCAAGGCGCTGGGCGAGCGCACGGCCAAGTACCGCTGGTTCGCCGTGCTCTACCTCATCGTGTGCTTCCTCCTGCTGCCCTCGCTCGTCTTCGGCGTCTCCATGGCGGGCTGGCGCGTGCTGGTGGGGGTGGGCGCGCCCTTCCTCGGCCTCCTCTTCTTCGTGGCGCTGGTGAACGCGCTGCAGCGCCGCAGCCCCGGGCGCCTGCCCAAGTGGCTGCAGACCTGGGACTTCCTCCCGGCCTGGATGCACTCGCTGCAGCCCCTCGACAGCCTCATCACGCGCGCCACGCTGTGCTGTACCGACCGCTGCGGCGGCCGCGCCGGCGGGCACGAGCGCCCCGGCGGGCACGAGCACCGCAAGGCCGGCCTGGGCCTCGACAACCCCGCGCTCGCCCTGCCCGAGGAGGCACCCGGCGCCCGCCTGGGCTCCCCGCGCCTGCCCCCGCACGGGGCCACCCGCCTCTAGGCGGCCCGGCCGCCCCCGCAATAAAGGGCAGAGCTGCCGCCTCGCTCTGTGCATCTCCCGCCGCGTCTCCCGCCGCCCGCGGGCTCGGCTCGTGGCACGCGGGGCCGCGGCGGCCGCCGGCGCTCTGAGGATGAGGGGGGTGAGGCAGGTGTGGCGCTCGGGCTCTGCACCGCGGTGTCTGCATCACAGAGACCCCGGCATCCCCGCGCGCAGCTCTCGGTGCCCCTCTGCCCGTCCTCGGCCCCCAGCGCCTGCCAAAGCAGCCAGGAGCATCAGTGGGTGCTGGACACCCACAACCTGTGCCCATGTCGGTTCAGCACTGTGCCACCGCCGTGCTGGCCGCGCTGCCCCGTGCTGCAGCCGCGGGCGCKACCTGCTGCGCTCGGTGCCGCTCGGCCCCGCGCCTGGAGCCCCCGACACCCGCGGCCGGAGCCGCCCGCCCCGCGGGAGCCCTTGGAGCCTGGGCAGGAACCGCTGCTCCCACTGCCCACGGATGCTTGGGCTCCTGCCAGCCACATCCGTCCCTCCCTCCCCGTCCTGCCTCCTCCCGGGGCTGGAAGCGGCTGCGGGGGCAGCAGCTCCGCGGCTGCCGGCTCCTCCAAGGCCGGCAAGGGCTCCGAGGTGGCGGAGACGGGAGGTGGTTCAGCCCCGCGCCGGCCGCGTTGGGCCAGGACGATCCTGGCGCCAGCGGACAGGGTCAGCACAGGAGCCATCGGCAGCCCGGACGCCTGGGCCCCCTTGGTCGCTGGCTCGGGCGCCGGGCGATGCCACGGCTGCGGGGCCACCGTGCCAGCGAGCGGGACGCAGCCGGTGTGGGGCAGCCCCACGGGGACGTGCCGGCATGGGGGCCTGGGCCGGGCCAGCATGGAGCTCCCCAGCGCGAGCAGCAAGAGCAGGGCCCTCCTGCGCCCTGCCTCGCCATGGGCACCGTCTACTGCCGCATCTACCGGGTAGCCAAGCGCAGGCCCGCGGCCGTGCTCGGTGCCCGTAGCAGCCTGCGCCCCGCGGAGCCGCACGGCCCCGGCAAGCGGGACGGCGCCGGGCAGGAGCGCGGGGCAGAGATGGAGTCTTTCCTACAGAGCAGCTCCTGCTGCATCCTAATCCCGTGTCCCTCCCTCAGCAGAAGTCCCTTCTTGCCAAAGTTGATACTAAGCCCGTTTTATCCTTGGCCACACGACCCTTTTCTTGCTCGGCTCATAAGCCGCTGCAATGCAAGTGCTACCCAGAAAATAATTCCCCTTGCAGCACTGGTTGTTCCTGCTCCAGTGCAGTACCTTGTGCTGCTCCAAGCTGGGCTGCATCCTGTATTCCGGGCTGATTCTGCAATTTATCAAGTCTGCTTTGAATTCTTAGCTTGTTCTCTAGCAGGTTCTTGTTCTCCCCTCCCTCCCTGGCTGCATGTTCTCTGCAGAATTAAATGCAGTTTTATTTCTGCCATCTGGGGTGGTAACGGATCTGTCAAGGGTACCAGGACACCTCAGGACGCGTGTCTGCTCTATGACTACCATTCATGCCTGGTGAGAACGGTGCTGTAAAAAGCCATGTAGGAGGAAACTGGAAGTAGCAACCAAAGGGATAAACACGCAGACACATGAAAAAGCAATAACGTCACTGTATTTGAAGCTCAGAATAACTACGTGCCACCTTTAAAAGGAAAACAGCTCTATAAAAAGAAAAAGGCACCCAGTGTGATCTGATCTCCGCGACATACTGACATGGGAGATCTCAGAACCCCAGCAGGGCAAAATATCCTGTTCCTCTTATCGGTGCTGATAAGCAACGCAAGCTGCACAGCCTGCTCTGCRGCGGGTGCCCGCGCACGCAGCGCTGCAGCCCTCGCACGCTGCGCGTGCCGGGGCGCGTGCGACCGTCTGGGTTGTCACGGGCCCGGCAACGCTCAGGACGCGGCCCTCGGCAGCAAGAGCGCGGACAGGGACGCTCCGCACGGGCAGCTTTGCGGCRGGACGGAGGCGGCACAGCGTCACGCGTGGAGCTGGGGCGGCAGCAGCGCTGCCGGAGCGCTCACACGCGGGTGCATGTGGAGCCAGGGAGAGCTCGGCACCACCGGGACACGGAGCTCACGGCTGCACCCGTGTCGAAGCACGGAGCAGGGCCGGCGCCAGCCGAGCCGGGAAGGCCTGGGAGCATGGAGGGGATGGGGGCGGGAAGCGGGAGCCAGCGGGCAGCGTGCAGGGCTGGGGCAGAGCTCTGCAGGGCAGTTCAGTGACGGATCTGCAAAGCAAAGTCGACGTGAGGAAGCTCCCACGCTGCAGCTTCCCATCCGATGGGATGCGGCTGCTCCAAGCTCAATCATCAGCTTAAGGAAAAAGCTTTTACAGCAAATCAGAGGAACGAGGGAAGCCGCAGGAGCGGCGGCGCTTGCTCAGGAGCCCTGCAGGGGTCAAACGCGACCCCCGAGCCCCRTGGGGCAGCAGGGCAGGTCACACGGCGACGACGCGGACCCGCCACCCGCCGCCGCCACCCGCCACCCTCAACGGCCGGCACCCCCGAGGAACCCCTTTATATAGGTACACTCGGACCCGCCCTCATAGGAAACGCTCCTATCACAACGCTGCCTGGTGCAGAGTGGCGGCTCTCTGCCCAATCAGCAGCCGCAGCAGGAGGGGCCATATTTACCTTGGGCGCCGTTGGGACTTGCCCAATCGTTTTTCCGGAGCTGAGGCKAACGCTCGCTGACGGGCACTTCCTTGTCCAATCAGCACGCGTCGCACTCTACCCCCGTCAGCGCTTCGCCAATGTCCGCCGAGCGCCGCGCCGCATCCCCCGCCTTCCCCCACCTT